ATGAAAAAATGGGAGAGTACTTAAATGAGCATTTCATTTCACCTCAACTAGCAGAGGGGAAAAGCAAAAAGCAGAAAGATGAGAAAGAAGAGGAAAAAAGAGTGAAGAGAAACACAATTCATGAATTTATAATGCAAAAAACTTCCATCATTAGAGTGATTCAGTAGTCTGTGCTTCATGGCATAAGTGATAATAAAAAACTTAACAAGTAATAGACATAAAAACGTTCTGCTTATTATGCAATCGGCTCAAGGTGATGATCACAACGGAACAAAGTAACAAATACCTGGACAGAAGGGCGGCAACGGCCACAACTATGTGCCGTTACAAGATCTGACATGAAAAGCCACCAGGCGGCAACCAAGCAAGTGCAACAGCTTTAAACAGTTAGACTGCATTGACGCTTCGGGCATAGAGATTTCTTGCTGTAAACTTGCTTTAGAGGAGAATCGCTGATCGTCTAATAAAAACATGTGCTGTTCGTCAAGTAAAGTCGTTAAAACACCCACTTTAACGTTACTAAAGAAATGTACCTATTCGATAGCCAGAAAATACCACTGATGTGCCATACACAATGACAAACACGTTTCGATATCGCCTCGCAATGGAACTGAAGCTACAGACCAACAAAGCAGAGCGGGGACAGTCAGCCAGTATGTACAACAGATGAAGTTTTATCCTAAGATTAGCTGAAGAATGACAGCTACTGATTATGTGAAGACTATACCATTGGTTTGCGTCGCCACAACGAACCTTTTGCATTAGCAAAAAATTCATTCCCAACTTTCGACATTTAACCGTCTACTAGAGGGCTTTGATTAAATCGGCAAACCAACCGTGAAATTTTCTCCATCCAAAATTTCCTCACAAAGCATTCTGGCCATAGTTATCGGTCAATCATTGGAAGAAAGAGAGTACGTCAGAAAACAAAAAAATTACATCTTGAATATGAATCCCAAACACAAACAACCAGAACAAATTTCTGTACGACAATGATTTGACAAGACAAACTGTCCATACTGCTTTCAAAGGTTTCTGATACAACTGTAGAAAGCCGCAGCATCGCAGTAGCTTAGTGAAAAACGAGTCGTTTTCGAATCCAACGGAGGTACGATCTTCATCTTAAACATGAATTTCATTGAAAAAGGAGCATACCCCATTTTGCTTCAGTGCAACTAACCGAGAAATGGCTAGCAAGTCGTTCACTTGCCACCGCAGGGATTGGGTATTCTGGTGTAATCATACCAGCATGGGTGAGAGAGATGAAAATGCTGTAGGATGAGATCCACTTAGTGGCTGACTATTAATTGTAACAATCAACGTAAAGACGAGAAATGGAAGGGCAGGATGAATAATGATACAACTAGGCTCTAGTCGGATTTGCATTAAGGCTGATTTAAGTGCTACGGATTGGAACAGAGTGCAGCGTCGCCAACAGTTCTCACGCAAAAGACGATTTGATCACGTTAGCATATGCGACTCAAAAAGTTCATGCATATTAAGAGCATTCTTCACCAAGTCTGACTTACGGTTAAGGTGAGAGCCGTCGGCCACCAGCGGACCCTTCGTTTCTGTTCAGAGGTCACAAAGCGAAAACTCAAGGAATGTGAGGTCTAAGAATCATCCGCAACCTTCCCAAACACTGTAAGATATGACCCAGACACTGACTCACCAGAAGGCTTCGCTTTCGTCATGTACAGCGATTTGTCGTAATAATGACAAACCGGTAGATCAGGTTTATGGTGAGCGTTTAAAATAAAAGTTCCAGTGGCTGTAGTCGAGAGGGGCATGAGCAAAAGGCTCTGGCTTTCTCAAGACCTGCCGCATAACGAGAGCTCGCAAAACTGACTTCAGAATCTCTGCGCGTGACTTCGTTTAAAAAAAACCTGATAGTTTTTCCATTGCATTCCATAAACAGATGTTAGTCAGCATCGTGTTTTACGTCTCTGGAAAACGACTTCCAATCAAAACCTGCTCGGTTGGTAGTATATATATGTAATACATGGAATATAACGGTTTCAACTATACTATATACTATATATTAGTGCACTATATACTCTAGCTAATTAAAAACACAGTGGAACGAAACCATGAAAAAACACACAACAGATAAGTCAGATACTGTCATGTTTTATGCACGGCAAGAATAGTATTCCATATATTCTGCCACGATAGGATGCATTTTACAGAAGACGAAAGTACAGCTGTGTAGTAAGCTATGTGACATTATTCCATGACGAATCATCTGAAATATGCAGTTAATATCTTCAAAAATTCGTACGTCGTGCGAATATAAAATTATAAACAACCATGTCTGTTCATGACGATAATTTGTAATAGCAATTAATCGATAATATTTATTATATCACCAACGTCTGTCTTAACAGTCGAACAGCATCGTTCGAATACCGTATAAAGCTACTGAATATAAAAAAAAATTGAGAAAATATAGTACTTACCACTCAGTACAGTTTATTACAGCATACAATATAGTACATTTATCTGTTAACGATAAGATCCTACACACTATGTAGTGATAGCACCGAGCATTGTGAGCTGCACCAAACTGTATGCTATCACTATTAGACACTAGATCTTACACTGAGAGAACACAGTACGGTTGTGCAGTATGTAGCGCAGAAAACATCACCTACCACTCATAGTACATACTACAGTGCACATTACCGCGTGCTACCGCGCTACTGGCAAAAATCTACATTAAATTCTACTGACATCACAAGATAGCCTGTTCCAATACTGTACAATACAATGCATACAATGCACTGTTAACTGCTAATGGTATTATATTGCAAAGTACTGCCATATATCACTGTGCAGCATCAGTAGGAGACTACATGCAATACCAGTGATAGTACATATTTAAACAGCATTACGAAATATACCACAAACTACCCTTAACCACTGCATGTAGTATAAAAGTGTACCGTTCGCAGCATACTGAACAGAATACATTAACGAATCCACATCCTTGTATTGTACATTAAGCAGTATGCCGTATACACTATTTGAAAACAACGTTTAAATAAGAAATATATATTATTCTATCACTCATTGCATGCAATATATTCCATGTTGCACAAGGCAATTACGCATTTCTAGCAATATAGGGCACAGCATGTACTTCTGATAGTAAACGTTATGCTGCTCATTGCGTGTAGCATCAGTAGTACACGATATACTACTGAAAATACACAGATACGTTGTACAATATGCGATGTAATAAATACAACACATGACAGTATATGTAGCGCAAGGCGTATTACCGTGTTGCTGCCAAGTATGTTATCGAATATGTCGACGAAATGGTAAAATTCAACGCTTACATGAGAACATACGAGCGCTGATCATCATGGAATATATCTGAAACTTAAATCGTACGTATTTTAAAATGCAGTGAATTTTCCTGTTCAAAGAAGAACAGTAATCGTAAACGTTGCTGTAGCACCGTGTACCATTAGTTGTGCATACATCACATGGTACTCCAATATGAAACTGCACAGCAAGTATTAACATCACAGTGGGCATTTGTATACAGCGCTGTGTCGCACTATAGGACACTCGATTGCGTCGTTTTCAACCGCTAACAGTAAACAGCAGTATACAACAGTAATCCTTATCTACATCCTCATAACAGCTTTTCCCTTCAGGTAGAGCCTATAACGTTTCCCATCCTGTGCAAGAATCTGAGCTTCGCCAGAAGACAACTTAAGTCCGGAGCACACTCCTTCCATATATTTGCACCAGGTTAATTTTCACCGTCCTCTGGGCCTTCGGCCGGTAAGCTGGGTAAGAAATTGTGGCCTCAACTTCCTTCCTGGAGACATTCGCAATATGTGCCCAAAGCAACGCAGACATAACTTCTCAACCCGAAGAAGCAGCAGCTGTACAACAAGGTTATCCCGGATAGCTGTATTCCGGATCATTCGAGACGCGTAAGGCCAGCAAATAGTCTCAGAAAGCCCATTTCAGCCCCTGGTATTTGGGATCGTAGAATTTCTGTCATGATCCACAACTCATACCCGTAGGGAAGCATGGGGATGAAGATCAAATTAACGCCGAGAGTTGAGTCTCAAGACGCAGCTCTGCCTTAGTCACAACTGTTCGGGCTAAATCATGCACCAAGCCACTGGCTACTCCAATTCTCTGGTTGATCTCTTCCTCCAATTACCATTGCTATGGACACCACTCTGAGGTACTTCAACTTTTCCACCTGCTACACTGTCTCTCCTTTAATCTGGAGAATAACAGGCAGGAGAACGAGGAAGCACTAGGTTTTCGTTTTAGATGCGTTCACACGCATGCCGGCCACCTCGCAATCAGCTGCGAACCCTTCAAGAGAGCGCTGAGGATCAGTTTCAGAAGATGCCAATAGAACAAGGTCGTTTGCAAATAGCAACCTTCTCACCCTCTCATCTTCACATCTCCTACACCGATACACTCATCGCCTTGGTATCTCCTGACTATTCTATCCATGTACAACAGAAACAGGAGAGGGGGCAGCACGTAACCTTGACGGAGACCAGTGCGAACGCGGAAAGGCTACAACTGAACGCCATTTATTCTGACGCAACACCTGCAGTGACTAGATGGTCCGTAGCAAATGGCCATCGATCCCATATGTTCGCAGGCATGCACAGAGCCTGTTGCACGGGATCTGATCATAGGCTTTCTCTAAGTCAACATAGCGCATGTACTCTGGATGGGTGAAATTCCCGATTTCTCAACAATCCGGCGTAGGGCAAATATA